AAAACTGCACGAGGAGCATCATCTCCTGCAAAGCCAGCTTTGCACATACCTGAACCATTGTCTACAACAAGAGCAGCAACTTCGTCTTCCATGTTGTGTAAATGTTATAAGTTTGTTATAGAAAGATATGTTACTTCGTCCAAGACCACAAGGAAAGTGATGAGAATATTGCTTCAGGGCGTATTTATAGTGTAGTGGTACGCAGTCAGTCGTGGCACGGAAACCATTGGAGGCATAATGAATCATGACGTTATCAATTAGAGTTATTATTCATCTCTCAGTGTGACATAACGTAACCAGCGATACAAACTCTCACAATAAAAAAAGTATGTAGAATTTGATACCGTAAAAGGAGTTGCTTACAGCTCTGCATTGGTGCCTTCCAGAAATCTTGCACAGCCCAAAACACCTATTTTCATAGCGGCGTTAGGTTTTCTGTTTTACAGCCAAGTTCATGCTTCGATGCTGATGTTTGCGTCAGTGCAAAGAAATGAAATGCATTGAATTCATTTTTGTATTCATCCATGAACTGGCGACTCTGACTCATGCAATAGTTGTATTTTCTCGATTTCTCGAAATCAGCCAACGATACAACTTTAAGAAACACTCAATATGAACAGATGAAAAACACCTCGTATTCAACATTATAAACTTCTGCAAACTTCTCTAGCTATAGTAAAATTTTAAATAAAAAAAAACAAAGCTTTTGGAACACTTCGATAATGCTTTGACAGTACCTGCCATTGCGTGCGAATAAAAGTTTCTTTGCTCACGAACTCAAATTATTTTATTCATTTAATGTTTTGGTACTTTTTGGAGTCACTACTAGGCATGGGGGAAAAAAACGATTTACGATTTTCCATCTGTGTTGTAAATTATAAGCCCTAAAATTGAACAAATATCTAATATGATGTCATAAATCAATTTTTTGATTCACTTGAGTAAACGTTAACATGTCAGATTGATGGATTTTGTCATATTCTAAATCCTTCCGAGCTTGAATTCCGTTAGCGAAATTATATGGACTAAACAGGGTCCTCAAAATAACCCAATCCTAACTACTTCTAATTTCACACAGATATTTCCACTATATAGAGAAAAGTTTTCAGCTTACAACAAATAAATATATTAGAGTATAAAATATTATAAGTCTGTCAAATCTGTACAGTAAATAAAATGTTGTTTAACTTCTGATATTGTCAGGACCTACACGTCATCGGCTGGATATGTAATCGATAAATTCCCGGTAACAAACAGATTAAAAACAATCGTAGTAAAATCATTTTTTAAACAATTTTTCCCCTTCATTTTGAACTGGGAACATTAAAATTTGCTCTAGATTCAAAATTTAATATTTTATTTTTATAACAAGAATTTAAGAAATTTTGTTTTGCATTTTGCAACGTTTTAATTTTATTGCATTCCTATCGACGTGAAATACTAAACACTTATATATCTGAATAATGTTACTCAAATTCATAAACTTATTTTACGAATAGAGAGAGAACAGACCCACCATGCACTCGAAATATCTATACATTTTTTCACCATTTTTTGGAATAAAATTCAAACAAAAATAAAGTTTCCAAACTTCGTAAACTCTAGAATAAATTTAAGATTTTGAGTCATAACTAGTAAACCAAATAAATTCTATATAAGGGAATACAATAAGTCAGAAGGCAGTCATGAATAATTTCAGTATAAACGACGTGACGTCAGTTGCTAAGATCTAGTGATTTTCCACTTGTTACGTTCGATTTGATGCTTGTCCAATTATGGTAAAATGAAAAGTGTTTGTATTCACGAAAAGAGTAGAATATCCATTCTAAACTACGTCATGTTGAGAATTTTTTCAAGGAGTAAAATTATTTATTGCGTGACTTCTGAGTGTTGTCGAACACTGAAATTTTCCATAATTGTTTCTTCTTATTTTCAACTAAAACTGAAATTGCGAATGACACGAAGATTTATTCACTGAGTAACTCTAGATAATAAGGAATGCATAAAATGAATAAAAGATAATGTTAATTTGACGTAGAAATGAAATAAAAAGAATTCACCAGAAAAACATTGCGTGACATCAGGCGATTTGAAGTGCACGAATACGTGACGTAGAATAAAAAACTTTTCTCGCTTTTTTTCCATGAAAATTGAAAAAGAAAAAGAAATTTTTGTTAAATTGTAACCGTGAATTAAAATAGTTACATGTGGTATTTTTGTCAAGCATATTTCTTGTTTTAACAATTGTATTGTTTGCAACTCACAGGTGCTTCACGATATAAGTCTTAATTATGCAAATGGCAATAACTCTTTTCACGCCTGCCCCCGGCGACATTGAGAGGGTATATAAACACTACCCTAACTGTATAGCACATCACATTTTATTGGTGACCATTCCAGAAGCATTAAGAAATTTAACAATCAGTTCCTAACTTTCATATTAACAACATGGATGACGAAGTTGCTGCTCTTGTTGTAGACAATGGTTCAGGTATGTGCAAAGCTGGCTTTGCAGGAGATGATGCTCCTCGTGCAGTTTTYCCCTCCATCGTTGGCCGTCCAAGACATCAAGGAGTGATGGTTGGTATGGGTCAGAAGGACTCGTATGTCGGAGATGAAGCTCAGAGCAAGAGAGGTATTCTGACCCTTAAATACCCCATCGAACATGGAATCGTCACTAACTGGGATGACATGGAAAAGGTAAGATTTCAACTCATTTGCTTCACAACTTGTTGTAGTTTGTTGACTAAAAGTTTCTTTTTTNGAATCGTCACTAACTGGGATGACATGGAAAAGGTAAGATTTCAACTCATTTGCTTCACAACTTGTTGTAGTTTGTTGACTAAAAGTTTCTTTTTTCTCATTCGATAGATTTGGCACCACACCTTCTACAATGAACTCCGTGTAGCACCCGAGGAACACCCAGTTTTATTGACTGAAGCTCCTTTGAACCCCAAAGCAAACAGAGAAAAGATGACACAGGTAATACTTATTGTCTTTTTCTGCACGAAACACCTACACACTCCAAGCTTTGTTTTCTAGAGCGTTTATTTTCTATGGACTTATTTTTTTCATGACAACTGAAAAGCATAGTTAGGTCATATAAAGAAAGTTAATGAAGTATGAAAAAAGAGATTAAAGCATAAAGTATTGGATTTGTGAGGCTTCGAGAAAACATAAAGAGCATTTGCTTAAAGATGATCATGAAATTCGGAAAAAATATCTGTATGTATTTTACTTCTACGCACTTAAAATTTTTTTTTTTCTATCAAAAAACACTTGGATTTTCTTTTTACTACCCTTGACTGAGCAACACCGCATATGCCTTCAGCTTGGTCAACACAAACATCAATAATCACAATGGAAATTTTGAATAGGTTTCGCTCCACTTTATCCATATTTGGAGAAGTCGGCTCTGATTGGTCAGATGAAATTGAACACTTCATTTAAATAAAACTATTTGAAAGTCACGAAAGTTGAATATTTTTTTCTCTTGGTCAATCTTTTGGCACGGAAATATTCGATAACATGTTCTTGTGGTTTTGGAAAAATAATCTAACAATTATTATACTAAAAAATATAGGAAATTTTTTTTTAGCAAATTCGACAAACTTAATACTGTATTGAAGAATCCCGAAAACTTTAGAAATCTCTTTAGTGTAGAAACTACTAATTCTAAAAGAGATTTCAGCAATCTATACTTTTTTGCCGATTTTATTTGACTTCTATCATTTTTTTAAAAAAAGTTTCCACTGGAGTAATTTTAAAATAATTTCAGAAAGAAAACAAACTTTGTTTCGATTCTCCGATATGATATTCATAAAATATAGTTTGTGATATAGTTTAAAAAACCCCTGCTTTTTCTATTCATTTGTCATGTATTTAAATTTCTGTCATGGCACGATATCCATTATACATATCGTATATGCATATGCTTTGGATTAGTTTTAAATATATTAAGCAATTTATATAAATTTTCGAAATTAATTCCGGGTTTTTTTTTTTTTTTTTTTTTTTTTTTTT